TCCCAACCCCCTTCTCTCTCCCACTCACCAACACAGACAGACAAAACTGAGACAGCAACTACGGCTTCTTTCACTCTGAAATAGGCATTCGCAGAGGTGTCACTGGTCTGGCCTTGGCCAGAGGCAGGTCCGAAATTGGAGCCTGGGGAGCTTCTAGAAGCCTCTTGTACAGGAGCCACCTTTGTAGCCCCCTCCCCCATTGCCAAAACCGCACCAAAACCTGCCAGACACCAAACCACCACACGCCCAATGTTGAAGTACAGTGTGACCTGGTACAGTACTGCGTGAACCAACTTAGGTATTAATTTCTGTACATTTTGCAGACTCGTGCAAACTCAGACTAATGTAAAGCTTTTGTTGTGATTAAATACAGTTGTTAATCATGGCTAATCTCTCAGGATGGCAATTCAGGAAGTACTTTGTCATTCAGTGCTGTTTATGAAGCATTCATTTATGGAGCTTTATTCCAGCTGAGTCTACTGCTTGAATTATACACCGGCCACTCAGAAAGGGTTACCTAGGCAACCCTTCAATTGGTCCTTTTCTGCTCAAATTTTACCTCAGTCATCATATTTCAAAGCTGAACATCCATCTCAGATGGATTTTCCCACCCCAACAGCATCTACTAGAATGGAAAAGGAATGGCTTTGGGTTTTAGGAAGTAGCCCCACAAACTTCTGCAGCAGTTCAGTGCCCCAAAAGTCAGGCTTCAATAGATCACAGCAGTGAAGTACATTACCTGCCTGCTTTGGTAAAGAGCTGAAAGCTAAAGCCGAAAGCTAGCCTTTTAAGCTGTTCAGGAGTATCTTAAGTACTGTGTGGAACATGACAAATTGTGCCTATGTACAATTTTTTAAATCTTTTCATGATTATATCTATTATGACCGCTTCACTTTACTGTCATCCTACAGTCATGCAACTTGGGAGTTTCACAGAGTGTAGTGGCTAACAAAATATTGTCTTCTGTTGACATCAACACAGTTGTCGAAGTAGCTGCAGCCTGTCTAATGTGTCAAGAGGTAAACAAGGATTTGCTTCCAGTCCATCGGTGTCAGGTGATACAGTCATAGTGGAAGAGCCTGAGCTAAGAGTTGGGCTTGCTTCTGTAGGTACTGATCACTTCAGGTAGCTGAGTAGTTGAAAAAGTCAGGATTTCATAACAGTAGAATAATTAAGACAGGCTCTTCAATTAAAACTAGCAGTAAGTAGAAAATGTTATGAACAATACCAACATATGGTGACATTTCATCAATAATTCTTTTGCCTAGAAAAAGAAAACTGATGTGGTCATTCAAATATCTGCTTCTTTTAGCATTGTCAAAGATTTATGTAAGCAATCTTAAGACAGTGCAGTAACTGACCAGAAACCTATATTACAGATCTATGGGAAGAGTAACTTGCACACTGCAGAGGACTGAATTCTCAATTATTATCTTTTTGCAAAAGAGGAAAACAAGAACTCTACATGAAGAAGTAGTTGTATACCTCTTATGGTCTCAAACAAACACCGTTTTCACCAGGTTTCTTCTTGGATCAAGCTTCTTTTGACCCAGGGCCCAGCTCTCACTGGGCTCTCTAGGAATCTTTCCACAGGCCTAATAGGGTTTGCACTACACACATCCATATGAAAGAACCATTTAGGCCTTTTTTTTGTCATTTTCTTATTCTGTGGTATAAGTTAGAATCATGTGCAATTCTGGAGACATTGCCTACCTATGTTAAAAATTAAAAAGTGATTTTAATACATACACCCAAAAGGCTGAATCATGCTCACTTGGCTTTCTTTGTGTGGCAGTCTGAGAGGGCTCCATTTGGTTAGCAGAAGCAGTCTAAGGAAAGAGAAGTGTTTGGCAGCCAAAAGGTTTTCTATAGTGGGAGAAGGTCCCTCTACACCTACCTGTAATAGAGACGACGAGTGAACAGCATACACAGAAAAGGAGACTAGAGATTGATATGATCAGCTACACAAAATGGGAGAAGAATGTCTTTCCTTAAGTTTTAGCACCAAGTTGTTAAGAAGACTGCTGCCTTGTGACTGGCCTAAACACAAAAGGCTTAGGCTGGAGATAAGGAGAAGCCTTTTCCTCACGAGGACAACACAGTGGTGGAGTGGGAGCTCAGCGAGGTTAGGCCGTCTCCATCCTTGGTGGTTTCACAAATTGACTGGGCAGAGCTCTGAGTAGCCTAGTCTGACCCCTCCAGCTGAGAAGTGGAACTCCCCAGGTCCCTGCCAGCCCAAATTGTCCTGCAGTCCCATGAACAAGAAAATACATCTATCTATCTATCTGTCTATCTATCTATATCTCTTAAATAGAAACTTTTAAAGTTACTTACAAAAACTTGCAGTTAGAGGTATGTGTACATATATATATATGCACACATCTATGTATTTCCATTTATATGCATGTGTATGTGTGTGTGTGTACACACACACATACACACATATATCTCTATCTACCTCTGTCTCTGTCTCTATCCCTGTCTCTGTGTATGTGGCCAGGCTTGATGCAGTCCAGACCAGTTTTTGATCCCTGACTAGACTAGCCCATATCCCAAGGGAGAGCCTGTGGGAAGTCACAGGAGAGGTACAAGGTTCCCCCCAGGGAATCCCAAAGGACCAGCATCACTGGTCTGCATAGCCGCACAAGGATGTCCTCAGGCAACCTGTGCTGCAGGGATACCTCATAGTCTGGCCAAAATCTTTTTGCTGTGTCCTAGCTAATCTTGTTAGGTAGGTGTGGTGTTAATGCACTGTTTTCGGACCCCATGGGTTCTCACTGAAACACAGCACAGTCCTCAGGACTCATCTTTAAAGAATCCCTAACCTCCTTAATCCATTCAATATTCTGCTCACTGTGGCTTTTCTTACAGAATGAAGAGGATGAGGACCAGCCTCTCAGCCTGGCCTGGCCTGACACCCCACGCAAGCAGCTCACCTACCTTATTGTATTACCCATTGTTTTTCCACTGTGGGCTTCCCTCCCTGATGTCAGAAAACCTGTAAGTAACTTACTGTAAGTTGGTGTGTTCAGCACAACAGGGTGGCTCTCTAGCTAATTGCCAAAAAGGGACTGTAGTGGATTTATGTAAAAATAGAGCTAATTATTTTTTTTAATAGTTTCTTCTTTGAAGAAGGTGTCATGACATCAGTCTGCAAATCTTCAAATGGGTGCTTATGGGCAACTGGTTGGTAATAACTCTATACAGATTGCCATTCATGTTCATTAATACTTCATGACAGAAAGTGAAAACTCTTAAAACTTCTTTGGGGCCTTCACATCTGCATTTCTAGTCCTCCACTGAATATCACATAAGTGCTGAGAAAGTCTGTCCATCTGCAGTGCCCTAAAGGGTACAACTGGAAAGATTTTAGACTGTCAAAATTTTCTCTGTGGTTCAAAACTAATGATACGCATTTCTCTTAAAGCGTGTTCTACTAGATCTTTGTCTTCTACTTGTTATCTTTTAATTTCTGTACTATAATGAAATCTTAAGTCCTTTCATGTGTAAAATACTTGTTAGTTTAGTCCCAAACACAGCTTGAAGTAATCTAAGACTTATTATTAACACAAATGACTTATTGTGACAAATTATCAAGTCTTACCACTTTATTTTCACATACACAAATGAACCTGACTGGGGAGGCTCATGGAAGGTAAAAGAAAAAAAGTAAAGAGCTGAAAAAAATCCTTCAGTAGTGTTTTAATCTCTTTTCCTTTCTGGATCAAAAATAGATTTGAAACCGCTGCAAGAGGGGGATGTGCAGCTTACAAGGTTATAAATCAACACCCTGAGTCCTTTTTTCGCCTCACACACACAGAAAAATTTTGCCATCCCACACACTGAAAAACTGCAATTCAGTGCAAGAAACAAGCTAAAATAAGACCTCTGATTTGTTTTTAGATAAAGGTTTCTCAAAGGATATAAACAGACATTTTCCCTTCCAATCTTTAAGCTTTCTTTTCTTAAAGTTTTCAAAAAACTCTGGTAAACAGTTTTTGTTTGTAACACAGAGAACATACTACATGAATTTCAAGATTGTTTATTTCTGTGTTTATACCCTCCTTTTATCATTCAAAATCATCCCTGTAGTTTTTTTTCGTAATTTGGCCCCAAATGCTAGGAAACAAGTGTGTGCATTATTTTGAATTTTGAAAATCTGAAGTTAATGTCAATAGACATGTAGAATGATAGCATGCATTGGGCTGGAAGGGACCCCCAAAGTCATCTAGTCCAGCTCCCCTGCAGTGAGCAGGGACATCTTTAGGTAGAACAGGTTGCCCAGAGCCCCATCACACCTGATCTTGAATGTCTTCAGGGATGGGGCCCCCATCACCTCTCTGGACAAACTGTTCCAGTGCTTCACCACCCTTATGGTAAAGAACTTCTTCCTAATATCCGATCTAAATCTACCCGTTTCTAGTTTAAAACCATTGCCCCTTGTCCCATAGCTTCGTGCCCTTGTAAACAGTCCCTCCTCACCTTCCCTTTAGGCCCTCCACAGGTACTGGTAGGCCTCTATAAGGTCTCCCCAGAGTCTTCTCCAGGCTGAACAACTCCAACTCTTTCTTCATAGGGGAGGTGCTCTAGCCTCTTGATCATTTTTTTGGCCCTCCTCTGGACCCTTTCCAACAGGTCCATGTCTTTCTTGTGCTCTGGGCCCCAGAGCTGGACAGAGCACTCCAGGTGAGGTCTCACCAGAACAGAGTAGATCTGGCCACGCTCCTCTTGATACAGCCCAGGCTGCAATTGGTCTTCTGGGCTGCAAGCGCACGTTGTTGGCTCATATCCAGCTTTTTGTCCACCGGTGCCCCCAAGTCCTTCTCAGCAGGGCTGCTCTCTATCACATCATCCCCCAGCTTGTTTTGATTATGAGAATTACCCCCACCCCGGTGCAGGACCTTGCACTTGGCCTTGTTGAACTTCATGAGATTCACATGGGCCCACCTCTCCAGCTTGTCCAGGTCCCTCTGGATGGCATCCTGTCCCTCAGGCGTGTCAACTGCACCACTCAGCTTGGTGTCATCTGCAAACTTGCTCAGGGTGCACTCGATCCCGCTGCCTTATCCAATATTCTGTACTGTACGAATGAGAACAGTTGTTGCAATGAGGGTTTTGGGAAGTGAATATCTCAAAAAGTTGTGTGCTAGTGTGTGATGTGTGTGATTATTAACAGTAGTATTGTTTACAACAGAACTGGCATGCTGACATCCTACAGCTAAAATACCCTGCTGTAACGCAAAAAATAAGCACAATCGTATATGCCAGATACATCAGTGGGCAACAGAGTTTTAAAATTTCATTCACTGAAAGGAGTAGCTTCTTATACAGAAGTAAAATAAATGTAATTTATATTTATATGTAGTAATAACAGAAGAGGTAACAGGCTGTACCAGTATGACAAGCTGCTTACTTTGAACATTGCTGTCAAAGAATTAACCAGATGGTTGCATAAACTGTCTTAATTTTTCATGGACTCTTCATTAGTGTGTTTGTCTCAAATATTCTCACTTACGCCTGTGTTCCATCCCTGCTATTCCCTTCCTAACAAAAACCGAACCCAGTATCACAGCTCAGCATGTGCATCAGAAAACAACTTTCTATGAAATTTCTGAGGCAAAAGTTAAAACAAACCTAAAATGATACTTAAACAGATTTTGTAGGTAGGCCTACTATCAGAGGCTTGATTTGCAAGTGTGGTAATTTTAGTCAGAAACCCATATTCTGCATCAGGATGCTCAAATTAGCATGTGGATATATATAAACTGAACACTGGTGTGCTATATACTGATTTGAGAGACCATATGGAGCCTTTGACATCCTCTATGGGTGTCCACTTTTCAAAAATGAGTTCTTTCCTCCTAGAGTCTCTTTTCTAAAGTGTATTTTATCTCCAAATAATGGAGACAGTTTGACTGCATTTGCTTGTACTATACCAAGCTATATTTAGCTCCATGAGACCCAGAAGCTCTAGGAAAATTATTTCATATAGAAGGTCTTTGGTTATAAAGTTAGCAAAATCCTTGCTGCCGTATTATGCTCTGGTGTACACATTTGCAGATTTTTGTATACTTAGAATAGGTTATGCATTAGTTAACTAACTCTCAGCTGATTCAGTAGCTGACATGGTTTAATGTGTGCTTAGTGCCTTAATAAGACCTGCTCACGTTAAGCCAGTGTGTATTAAAATCCTTACTATGACATCGGTAATGTTGCTGGCAGTACATGAGAGGTAGGTGTGCCCTTGGGGAATTTTGTACCTGACTTTTTGTTCGGGTGTTTTGAACAATAACGGACATTTTTCCTGTACCAGTAGCTTATTTCCCCAGTGGCTCTGTAAAGGCCACAAATGTAACTGTCCATCTCCTGCCGTGAAGGATATTGAAAGATTGAAAGGAAAATTACTTGACCAAGGTGGCCCAGTGGGTCAGTGGCAGATATTGAACACCATCTCAATTGTTATTGCAAAAGTTTGTTTTGTGCTGTCCATCCCTTTGTGTTAGAAGCCAGAAAAATCGCTATTGGGGCTCCAGTCCTGCTGTCACTGGACTCATGTGGGGCAGTTTGTTGTAACTGCAGATTTCCATTACCAATGAAGAGGTACAACTTACATGAACTCTTGTTGCCATACAGAGATGCACTGTTACCAAGGGGACAAGGACAAGATGTTCCTGCACAGATCCAGTTACAGGAGCAGGTTCTGAGTAATCAGATTTAAGTACTGTCAAGTATGAAAGGAAAATCAAAGCTTGCAATGCAGATGATACATTTATGTGCAAGACAAACATATGATTCATTCAGGTTGAAGGTAAAGAAAAGATGTTGGTAATAATACTGACTAAAATTATGACAATTCCTTTACAAATTATTAAGCACTCACTATCTTTCAGGGTCAGGCTTTTAGAAGAAAGACCTTTGTACTTGGATCATTCTTGCTACTTAAAGTCCTGTTTTTCAGGCACTGGCATGAAATCAATACAGAAATGTACCAAGAAAAATGTCCTTAAGGTTGCTGATAGACAGGACTGGTAGCAATCCAAACAATCTACAATGAAACTACAAAATTCTTTCTCTTTTGTTAAAAGAAAATAGTGTATGAATTGAATGAGCCATGTCTTTTCTCATTTGTCTGTTACCATGACCACAATAGAACCAACTGGTAATAAACTGGGCTCTCTGTCTTTACAAAGCAGCCATCACAACAGCTACTAGAAAAGGTGGAGAGAATTGTTGCTGTCTGCTGTCTCTGACTAATTCTTCTAGGAAAATGCTTGGAATTGGCAGCTCTCTGTATTTCTGAGTGCTAGGGAGTTGCAGTAAGATAAATCTCAAAAGAATGCTGTCATTAGCTGCAAAATAAGCATGATGATTATTGTGATACTCTGGAAATAAAATCCAGCATCTGAAAAAGAATTGGTACTCTCATTACTACTTTTTAAAAATTTCATGTATATGCAGATTACGTAGCAGCATCTATGGACTCCATTCTTGATTTCATCACCTGTGATATGTACAAACTTTAAATTTTGTCTGTTTTGAATTCAGGTGTTCCCTTTTTTAAAATAGGCAATGGAACTGTTAAGCCTATTAAAGTACTCTTAGTCTTGAACTGCTGCTTATCAGTTAATTTTACTGGGAGATGATTGGCTGAGACAAGCTAGGAATATACAGTAACTGCAAAGTTACTGACTCGTAATTCTTATCCATCCAAATTCTGTGGGTGTCTGACTCAGGCAATGCCTCATTATTTTGCAAGAACCATTTGGTATATTTAGTCGCACTGACAGAGAGCTTTTACTGGCCACTGCAGCCCTTGCTGTATTAGTTTTGCATAAGCCAATGTATTCTTATATCTTGAGTGTTGTATTATTCAAAGTGATTATTCAAATTGCATTGCTATGATGTGGTCTGTGTAGATTTTGTGACCAGCTGCTTATTGCTTCGTCATCTCATTCACCGTATGTGTTGCCAGAAAATTCTGGTTTTTGCAAGGAAGACAAAAAATGTTGAAAGTTGAGAGTTGGCTACTAAGAATGGTGAAAAAGAAGTACTAGTCATTTAGGTTTTTTGAAAAAAGGAAATTGCTGTTTAGATTAATTTATCCCTTCTGGATTCAATTCTGCTTCCACTGGTGTCAGATCACTATTCAAACACCCATTGCTGTGTTCCTTTCAAATTGTGTTCCTTTTCAGATTAAGGTCTTCTGTCCCCCAATGCATGTAGAGTTTTGATTTTAAAATTAAAAGTCCATCTGAGTAGGTTTAAACATCAGAAGCTCATTATCAGATTTTCTGATTTGATAAAAATTTAGAACTCTGTTTTGAAAAGTAACTCTGTTTGCTCTCTAAAGAATTGAGAAGCAGTTAAGAAGCATATCAACCAAAGTACCCTGGGCAGATCTAGAAACAGTGCTTGTGACAAGAATGGAAATTATACGAAAAGGATGTTTTGAGGTGCCATTGTGGCTATTTATGCCTATATTTAAAGATAATTCTTTTAAAACACCTAATGGAATTATGTTCTTACTCCAACAGAAGTGCATTTATTTATTTATATATGAAGGGGCTTGGGAGTGTTGTTAAATCTGTACCATCTTTAATGTGTGTTCCTATGTATATTCAATCATGGAGTTGTACAGGTCATGTTAGTCAATGTCTATGAGCTCAGTTTTCAGGAGGGCATTTAGCATTATGTAAGAGCCCACAGGGAGTAAGTGTTCTGTAGCACAGGCTACAGCTGCACCTGCTGCTAGAGCAGATACGGACCTTTTAATTGTCCCCTCCTGTAGATGAGTGTGCACAATTGACATTGCTGACTTTATGTTTCTCCCATCAGTAATGACCTGATCTCATTCCATTTACATCAGCAGAAAGAGTCTACACAATTTCAATGAGCTGCAGACCACCCTCGCTCTTTTCTGGTTCAGCTGACAAAAGACAGGGTCATTCCTGCATGACCAGCTCTAATAGACAGCCCAGTTCACTGAGCACCTCTTACTCCACAGTGACCCATGCTGATCAGTTCCTAAACTTGAGACTGACCCATATAAATGCCCCTTGTGGCTGTTATACAAGAAAAGCTGGCTGCGCAGCTCTGTAGACTCCTTAAAAAAGAGGGCTTTACCATGGCTTGAGCAAGCTGAACTGCCAAAATCCTAATAGTATATCGTCTCCAAAAGTCATGTTCAGGGAAAGCCTCGCAGTCCTGTCTGTTCACACAACACCTAGGAATGACCCACATTAAGTCATAATGGCTATTAAGTCTCCTGGTGCACCAGGAGAATGTCCAGCGTTGGAGAGGGGTACAGGGAAGGTGCACTGCCCAAAAATTCTGGAATTCCCTGCAGAGCAAAAAGTGGAAGTGGATTTAGCAAGGACTTAACAGGAAAAGGTAGTGCAGGATTGAGCAGTAGCTGGAACAAATATTCAAAGTGGTATCCTTCTACAAGCAGTCTTACTGGTTATTAATGAAAATTTATAGGATTCTGCTTGTGGCCTGTCAGAAGTCATCTGAGGTGAGGATCTGTGTTCAGAAGGCAGATGTCCACAAAGATTGTGGTTTCATTCAAGACTGGTAGTATTCGTTCACACTACAAATTTCATTTTAAACACCAATTTGATTTAGACAGTGATTGCGTGGTACAGTACTGCAGTCATGTTTCCTTCCTTTAGTAGTTAACTTGATCTCCTTTTGTGACATAGATCTAGGTAGCCAGTAGGAAATATGGATGATGCAAAAGACTGGAAAGTCCATAAACCAAAATAAATCATTAGTCTGAATATAATCCATTCATTGGCTAAAAGAACGCTATATACTCAAAGTCTGAAATTAGTAAGGGAGGCACTGAAAATTAAGTTACTTTGGTGTTACACGGATTTTTTAATCGATTGAAGGGCCTCAGAGTGTTTTACATATTTTTACATAACAAACTTCTCTACAAAAGGCATGGCAAATATGTGCTTAATGTATCTTCTGTACTAATTGAGAAAGTGGGTTGTTTTCCCAAGAAAAGTTGATGCCCTAATAAATTTGAGAGGTGTGTTTTTTCAGTTCCATCATATGGCAGCCTTTGGTATACTGACTGTGAAAGGTGTTGCACAAAGTTGTTGATGTATGAATGAAAGGTGTAGGTAACTGTTTTAGAAATTTGAAAACATTCTTACTGAGTAAGCATGAAGTTATTAACAAATTTAGAAATCAAACATCATTCAGCTAAACATATACACAAACTGCAGCATAACAGACTATGATAAAAATGACAAGCCAAAACTTGCCATTCATCATGCAAGTTGTTAGGAGGCATTATTTTACAACTGAAGTGGTTGGAAGAATGAGGTGTAGGTAAGTATATACCCATGTAGGTAGTCTGTTTCTTACTATTCTTGGCATTTATTTTGATCATCTGATGATGATAAGAATAGCTGGTCAGAACAAGTGATCAGAAAAAGCCACTCTCATTTTGAGAAGCAAATCAGAGTACAGCACATCAGCATTCAACATAGGTGTTCACTGATTCTCTTTGTTTCTGTTTCAGAGCTCAAGAAAATTTTTTCCTATCACATTTTTTGGCTCTATCAGCTGGATTGCATTTTTTTCTTACTTAATGGTCTGGTGGGCACATCAGGTAAGGAGGTGGTACTGGTACAAAATACAAACCGTGCATTGTGTTTTGCACTGTGAGAGATCACTTAGAATCAGAGTCCATCATCTGTCTCATGCTGAGTAGTGCTTTATTTTAGGAGCTGCAACCATGGATGAAGTAAATCACTACTCAGTAGATGGAAAGTAGTTCAGAGAGCTGTGTTTGTCCTGACTACAGGGCTTGATCATTCTGGTAACATCAGAGACATCAGCAACCCCTTGTCAATACGTACTGGTTCTATTTGACAATCTTACCTTTCTTCTGAAACGTGGAAATATGTGAAAATGAGTAATTCTCCAGTCTTTCCTATGTTCTCCAAGCTAGTCTGCAAGCTCCAGGATAATTTTCCTGGTTAAACAGATTTACAGCAAGAAGCATTTCTTTACCACAGGACCTTTTTTTTGCTGTTTTGCTTGAACCCTTTTAGGTTGGAGAGACCATTGGTATTAGTGAAGAAATCATGGGATTGACTATTCTAGCTGCTGGCACATCCATCCCTGACCTTATTACCAGCGTTATTGTAGCACGCAAAGGTCTGGGGGACATGGCTGTATCCAGTTCTGTTGGAAGCAACATATTTGACATCACAGTGGGGTAAGTCCTACAGCAAGAAAATTGTATCTATTTTAACAAGTCTTTTGTTTTTAACATATTGCCATGGTTTTGTAAGGTGTAGCCTACAACAATTTTCTGCTGTTGATGCTTAAAAAGGAGAGTGATGCAAATATGCATGTTACTATTTCAAGTGCTCAGAAGTTTATAGACATTTGCATGACAGAATTGATACAAATTTGTTGCCTAATTCTGTCTTCAATACATTGCAGAGCTGCCTAGGCAAGTGAATTGCACTTTAAAAAGTATGCAAGAGCATTCTTCCAAGAAGGAATTTCTGAAGCTTTTTGTGATTTTGTCAGGTTGCTCTTGTTTGTTTATGTTGCAACTCATTATGCTTAGACTAGAGCTTTCTTTATAAATGATGATCAGGAGCATTCATTGCCTCTGCGGTATTCATATGTTTGCCGTAATAAAAACAGAATGTCATTGTCTTGTGTAACTTGTTCAGGCTGTTGTTGACGTGATTTTTTTATATACCTGGCAAGTCCCAAATTACCAACCAATTCTCTATTAACACAAAGGACCCTTTGTATAGCTCTGACAATGTGAAGCCACATAAGATTGTGCAGAAATGTGCTGTTTACACTTTACTGCTTCACGGCAGCTCTAGGATAATGATGTGTGGCATGCAGTTGGAATTCATATTCCCTTTTGAACTTTTGAGACAAAGCTAGATCAGGTCCAGAAATGTTGAAATGTCTCAGTGTTTCAAAAATGTGGAAAGATACAGACAAACTCTGTCTTTATTCCCACATTCATGTCTTCAACACAGGATAGAGGCACTGAGAATCATGTCCATGCTCTCAGTTTCTCCATCTTTGGTTATTTCTTGCTGTCACACACACAGAAGTACAGGTCTAGTCACAGTTGTAGTCCTGAACAGCTTAGCCACAGAACAGATCATGGTTTTTGCTGCCGAATATACCAGCAACAGCACAGGTACAAAAAGAGATCCTGAAGTTAGAGTGGATAGTAAATGGCTTTTTGACTCCATCTGTTAGCTAATAGCAGTACCTTTGGACACAGCAGTAACACGTTTTTCTATAAATCCAGGAGCATAAAGTGTTTGAAATAGCAACTGTAAGCAACAGACCTGCAAAATATAAGAAAATATTATTCACCACCATGTGCTTCAACTTAGAGCACGTACAGTGCTTTACAAAACTTTCACAATGCTTTCTTAATTTTCTTAAAATTTTTAGTCTTTCTGCCAATGGAAATGTTGTCATCCTGTACCAGTCTGCTGAACCTGGTATATTTACAACAGAAATGTCACAATTGAGCTGTAGGCTGGTGTAGTTAGTACTGAGGCTGTAATAAATTATTCTCCCTTGAGCTGCTTATTCAAAGTTTGAATGTTGTGAGCTTCTGACAGATCTCTTCATGCTTTCTAAGCCCTCTAAGCTCCGATCAGTGGCTTAAATATTTATTTCAGCTTGACATCTTCCAGAGGGATGTTGCTTCATTCTGTGGCATTAGAGATGAGAAATGCAATGACAGCATATACAGAAATAGAAATTAAGCTGGAGTTCAGTTCAAGTTCACATTTTAACACAGGTTTATACAGTAAATGTGGATCAAGAGTTTTAAGGGCCAAATTTTGGGGGCAGCACCTTGCAGAGTGCTGGTTCTTCATGGCAAGGACATGTCTTTATGCCACCCACCCTCCTGTCATGCAGGATCTTGGAAAGAGAGTGGAAGTAGATTCATCCATAGATGGTCTGAAATCCAGAAGCTAATGAAAGGGGTCTTCCTGCTCACAGACAGGATGCCAGGTGATTTGTCAGCCAAGGGAAATGCAACTCACCATTGTAACTGGTGGAAGAGTGGGGAGCCTAAATCCCATGTGTTCTCCCCAAGAACCACAAGCAAACTGAGAAATTAGATTATGTATTAGAAGAGTTGAAACTCTTCATGCCTCACGTTATGCAAGAGGCATCTGGTTGTTTTGAAGTGCCTCCAGAAACTTTCTAGTGCCCCTTTCTGCATCTCTGCAATGTTTCCAATGTATTTTTCTGTTTCTTAACAGCCTTCCTCTTCCGTGGCTCCTGTATGCTGTGATTAACAGCTTTGCAGCAGTGACAGTCAGCAGCAATGGTCTGTTCTGTGCGATTGTCCTCCTCTTCATCATGCTGCTCTTTGTCATCCTCTCCATCGCTTTCTGCAAGTGGAGGATGAATAAAATCCTGGGCTTTCTCATGTTTGGGCTTTATTTTGTGTTCCTAATTGTCAGTGTCCTCCTGGAGGACAAAGTTATCCAGTGTCCTGTCTCCATCTAGTGGAAAGTGCTGTTTCTTGAGGAAAAAAAAAAAAAAAAAAATTATTCCAAAAAAAGTATATATAACAAAATGAAACAGCGAAAAACCACAATGGAAAGTTTCTATGAGAATAACATAACCCATGGATTTGTAAATTTCCTCTCCCTCAATTTTAAAAGAGAGAAAGAAATAAAAGGATACAAAGGGTGGATCTCAGAGCTGAAGAATGACCGCTGCTGGACAGTGCAGTCACGTGAAGGGCTGAGTACAGCTGTGCTGAGGTTTCCTTTGTCTGCTGCAGAACATCCTCACCGCTCAGTACTGGAGATGCTGCGCGCACACACGGAAACAGTGAAAGCTGCTGCTTCTCCTATGCCTATGGTGCATACCTGCAGACTTCTCATTCTCTCTAGTAGTATACACAGACACACAGCATACTCAGTTCTTAGAGCTCTCATCTTCTAAGGGGAATGCTAATACTAACTTTGTGGAGGCACCACCCCCCACACACCCTGGTATGAGATTTTTCTGATAATCTGCTGAAACTCCTGAGTGGAAAGCATACACTGATGGCATGAGTCACGGACAGGGAAGAGCTTGTGCATCTCTTCATGTGAGTGAATTTATGTGATGTGATTTCAGCAAAGCCAGGAATTTCATCAGTATTCTGATCCTCTGCATCACAGGTCTGTAGTGGCAGTGAGCAGGATGTTAATGGTGTTTTATTACATCTTGCAAAACTCTTCAGACTCTGGAAACTCTGGCTCTGGCACTGAAGGGGCCATGCTGCCTGGCCGTTTCATAACTGGTGCAGATTTTCATTGCATTCACGTGCAAAGACCAGAATGGGGATACTCTTTCTTCTCTAATAGCAACGCAGCATGCAGAGAGATCACACAACTACTATGTGAACACACCATTTTTTCTAATGCAGCAATACCAACAACAGTACCAATGGCTTTCAGATGCTGTTATCATTATGAGTTTGCCTTTTCATGCTGGGAGAAAAAGGCTAATTTGCTTATGCATAGTATTTCATAAAGAAAATAGAAGTGGTTGTAAAGTGGCAGCCTGAATGCCGAAGTGGATATATGTTTTACAGGCTATCTTTCACTATTACTTGGAGTGTAAGGACCTTCACAGCTACATATAGCTATTGCTGGAAAAGATGCCCAGCTGATGTACAAAGCTGGGGCAGTTCATATTTGCTCTTAAAAATCTTGAAACTAGGTAGGAGAAACTAACAATTTAAATATAGTGGAGCTGCAGGAAACCTACATGAATTTTTTTTCAGTACTGCTGGAAGTGTGAATGTCTAAAGAAGCCCCAGAAGGAGTGAAAATGCAATATTCTGTTACTGAATTCCTGAGAGAAGAAGGTCCAAACCTAGAACAAAAAAAAAAAGAAGGGAGAAAGCAACAAAATTTTCAGCTTTCCTGTAGTTTGGATGATTAAAAAAAAAAAAAATGGGAGGACTGGAATGGGTGTTAAATTTATTTCAGATAATCATCGTTTGTTTGTTCAAGTTTTTTGTGCAGTTAGAGTTCATGAAATTTCAGCACATTTCTGTGACCTGTTTCAGCATTGTTTTGTATTCATATTGTGCTCACAATGGCAATGCTGTGCTCACAGCTGTGTAACAGAAGGCTCAGCACATTTTGTCGTCTATTTTGTTGTGTTCCATGCTGTTTGCTTCTCACTCATCCCATTTGTCCTTTACTGTTTCCCTGTTACATGTGTTTGTATATGATGTATCTGGTTAGACAGTAAGGACTTGACAGAAAACAATAGTAGAGAAAACAGTAAAAAATACACATTAAAATTACTAAAATGTTAATATTATGTGATATCATGAAGAAAAAAGTGAGATACTAATGAACAAAAGCAAGAAAACTAGGAGTTACAATGTCTGCTACTCATGTCTTGCCCTAAGGTATTAAGTCCTAGCTACATTAAGAATCAGTATTTGATCTTAACAATACATATGCAACATCTCTTGCTTCTTCGTGCTTTTTAATCTGAGCTTCTCTCATTGTGAGCAAAAATTTGTCTGCATTTAAGATCCTGTCTTAACGAAAGTGCTGCCCACGTCCTAACATTTGTTTCTACGGGTGTACACGACGGAAAGGTAGGTATATACATACCTACGGTGCCCTCTGCTGACAAGAACAGCAAACTTGTGAAAGCAAATCTGTAACCCAAATTCTGAGCTCAAATGAAACAGGTATTCCAAAATACAGAGCTGACTCCACAGTATAATCTGTCCCAGAGGAGTCACCAAATGCTTTTATTTCTGATGGCAGTGCTTAATACAGGCCATCCCTTCCCAAGTCATAGAATCATAGAATCATTCAGGTTGTAAAAGACCTTTGAGATCATCAGGTCCAACCAACAACGCCACTTCACCAAGTACACCCCTAAACCATGTCTCCAAGTACCACATCTAAACGACCTTTAAGCACATTAAGGGATGGTGACTCCACCCCCTCCCTGGGCAGCCTATTCCAATGGCTGACAACCCTTTCAGTAAAATATTTTTTCCTAATGTCTAGCTTAAACCTACCCTGGTGCAGCTTGAGTCAGTTCCCTCTTGTTCTATCATTAATTACCTGTGAGAAGAGACCAGCACCTACCTCTCTGCAATGTCCTCTCAGGTAGTTGTAGAGAGAAATGAGGTCTCCCCTGAGCCTACTTTTCTTAAGGCTAAATAGCCTCAGTTCCCTCACCTGCTCTTCGTAAGACTTGTTCTCTAGGCTTTTCACCAGCTTTGTTGCCCTTCTCTGCACTCTCTCCAGCACCTCAGTGTCTTTCTTGTGTTGAGGTGCCCAAAACTGAACACAGTACTCGAGGTGCGGCCTCACGAGTGCCCAGTACAGGAGCACAATCACTTCCCT